AAAACTATAGACCCATATCCTTAATGAACATAGATGCAAAAATTCTCAATAAAATACTTGCAAACCACATACAGACACACATCAAAAGGATAATCCACAATGATCAAGTTGGCTTTATTCCAGAGATGCGGGGATGGTTCAATATATGTAAGTCAATAAACGTCATAAATCACATAAATGGGCTCAATGACAAGAACCACATGGTCATCTCAATAGATGCAGAGAAGGCCTTTGACAAAATTCAACATGCATTTATGTTCAACGTCCTAGAGGGAATTGGACTGGATGGAACATACCTCAACATAATTAAAGCCATATATAACAAACCCACAGCTAACTTCATTCTAAATGGAGAAAAACTGGAAGCATTCCCATTAAAATCAGGAACCAGAAAGGATGTCACTATCTCCACTCTTTTTCACCATAGTGTTTGAAACTCTTTCTAGAGCAATAAGACAGGCAAAGGAAATTAAAGGAGTACTAATTAGAAAAGAAGAGATCAAACTATCACTTTTTGCAGATGATATGATACTAAAGAGATTCCAAAAGTTCCACCAGAAAACTCCGAGAACTCATCAACACTTTCTGTATAACGGCAGGTTATAAAATCAATCTACAAAAATCAGTAGCCTTTCCATATACCAATAACAAGCAATTGGAGAAAGAATACAAGGAAATGCTCCCATTCACAATTGCTGCAAACAAAATAAAATATCTTGGAATAAATCTGACCAAAGACACCAAAGATCACTACAATGAAAATTTTAAATCGTTAAAGAAAGAGATTGAGGAAGACACCAGGAGATGGAAGACCTCCTATGTTCATGGACTGGAAAAATTAATATTGTGAAAATGACCATCCTACCAAAAGCAATATATAGATTCAAAGCAATCCCAATCAAAATCCCCATGATGTACTTCACAGAATTAGAAAAAAACATTCTTAAATTTGTATGGAAGCCCAAAAGACCCCAGATAGCCAAAGCAACCCTGAGCACAAAGAACAATGCTGGGGGGATTACTATACCAGATCTCAAAGTATACCACAGAGCTATAGTCATAAAAACACCATGGTGTTGGCACAAAAATAGATACATAGATCAATGGAACATCATTGAAGAGCTAAACCTGAGTACATGCAATTTCAGCCACCTGATATTTGACAAAGGTGCCAAGAATACACAATGGAGGAAAGACAGCATCTTCAACAAATGGTGCTGGCAAAACTGGAGCTCCACTTGTAGAAGAATGAAACTAGATCCTTATCGTTCACCTTGCACAAAAGTCAACTCCAAATGGATCAAAGACCTCAATGTGAAACTGGAAACCCTGAAACTATTAGAAGAAAATATTTGCAGTAACTTACAAGACATAGGTGTAGGAAAGGATTTTCTAAATCTGACAGAAGTTGCTCAGAATTAAGGTTAGCAATCAACAAGTGGGGCCTCATTAAACTAAAAAGCTTCTGTACAGCAAAAGAAACAATCAAAAAAGTGAAGAGAAAACCCACAGAATGGGAAAAAAATCTTCACCAGTGACACATCTGACAGAGGTTTAACACCCAGAATATATAAAGAACTCAAAAACAAAGAATTGAGAAACCAAATGACCCAATTAAAAAAAAAAAGATGGGCTAAAGATCTAAACAGAGAGTTCTCAAAGGAAGAAATTAAGATGGCTGAGAAATATCTCAAAAAGTGTTCAATATTGTTAGTAATTAGGGAAATGCAAATTGAAGCCACCCTAAGGTATCAATCAGACCAACCAGACTGGCTAGGATCAAGAGAACAAATGATACCAAATGCTGCTGAGGATGTGGGGGAAGGAGATGGCTCCTCCACTGCTGCTGGTATTGCACACTCGTTCAAGGTGGGATTGCAAACTCGTGCAGCCTCCATGGAAAATAGTGTGGAGAACTCTTAAAAAACTAAAAATGAACCTATCCTATGACCCAGTTATACCACTTCTTGGCATATACACAAAGGACCCACCCTATTGTAGAGACACATGTACAACCATATCCGTTGCTGTTCTTTTCATGATACCTAAGAGATGGAAGCAACCTCAGTGGCCCTCAACTGAGGTTAACAAAAATGTGGTAAATGGATGGATCTAGAAACTGTTACACCAAATGAAGTAACACAGACTCAGAAAAACAAACAACGTATGTTCTCCCTCATATGTGGCTCCTAGCACCAAATCCTTTTAAATTCCAGATCCTTTTAATAAGATGATGCTATACAGCAGTCCCTTCTGCATGAAATAATTACCATCATCATGACTTCAGCTGAGCCTGATCACTAAACATAGTCACAATTGGGCTTGTTGACGGTTGTGCTCATTCATTAAAGGAGGGCCAAGCAGGGTCATTGGAACCTCACGGGATTTTCCAGCCACTCTTCCCAGTCAACTGTATGTAATTTGGCCCTAATCACACATGGCCTCCTGGATTTGGGGAGGGCTAAAGTATACAATCTGGGGAAGGCTTGGAAGAGAAGGCATGACCCATGTTGGGTAAAGGCTTTCCAGTGTGCATACCGTCAGGTCATACATACACCTCAGCAACCCCTCAGTTCTCTTGGTAAGTAAGCTAAAAAAATTTATTGGTTCCCCAGTAAAATGTTAATCAAACATTGGCTTGACACTAGAACCTTAAAAGGGAATAAGCATTGCTTAGTATCCCCAGGAAAAGAAGTCTCACAACAGATAGAAATTTATTTGTGAATGCTATTATGTCTCACAATTATTTGAAAAAAAAAGAAAATGAGAATGTAAAAGATGTTAAGAGGAGGGGCTCGAGAGATGGCTTAGTGGTTAAGAACACTGACTGTTCTTGCAGAAGACCTGAGTTCGAATCCCAGCACCCACATGGCAGCTAACAACTGTCTGTAACTCCAGTTCCAAGGGATCTGATGGCCTCTTCTGTTCTCCGTGGACATTGCATGACATGGGTGCACTTACCTACATGAAGGCATGACACTCATACACATTAAAAAAAAAAAAAGATGTTCAAAGGATATGGGATTGGAGATATTTTCCAAAATAGACAGAAAAAATGAGAAAGCCTAAGGAAGTGAGGAAGGTCTGTTGTAGGTTTGTTATGATATACAAAGGATGAGACATGTCTATGGTCATAGTTTAGTCAACTAGTTTAAGGAACAAAATATATATCTAGTCAAGGTTTATCTGAGAGTATTCGGTTTTTTACCCAAGCCTTATCTACATAGCACATGATAATGAAAAGTACCAGACTGGTGGAACTAACCTTATTGGATGTTTAACAGCCATAGTTTGAGGCCTATACTAATGTGGTCAGAGGGACTTAAAGGACAGTTTTCGCCCCTTGTCCTCCAAGATTGACTAAGTTCCAAGTTAACTATGGAACATCTCTCAAAAATTTCCTGTAACTGTGGTGATTCACCTCTCCTCTTCTTCAGGGATGCCATGGAGACCCCATGAGATGGACTTGAACCAGTGTCCAGTCTATAAAGAGGAGGGTAAACTCAGAGGAAACATCACATTCATGCTTCCAAGTGAAGCCAGACATGGTCGAGCAGGACCTCTGACTTATCTTCACATAGATAAAAGGAGCCAGGAGCTCTTCCCAAGCCTATGTGACCCTTGAGGAACAGATCCTCAAATGACCTTAAGTGTAAAAATAAATGGATTTATTTGGGTCAACTGTATAGTCTTAAACACCCAAAAGGAAATCAGTATATTTCTTTAAGAATTCAAGGGATTACACCTCCCAGACATTAGGCTTAAGGATATATAAAAAGTTATTTAGACAACTATTTCTCATTGATGATTTTGTTTCTAACCAGCAAGTGCTGCTCAGATGTAAGACTTCAAATCTTGGTCTCCAATACTGTAGTGCCCACCTGTAGCTAAGGGAGACAACCAGCTATTGTTCTAAAATGATGGATAAATTTGTTTTCTCCCCCTATCTAGAAGCCTTTGAGAGGGAACTGACACTGATTCTAACCACTCCAACAGCTATCAAAATACCTGAAAGCAAATCCTGAGTCCATCATTCTGGAGTCCAGCCTTGGAAGACAAAAGAAAAATGAGGAGTGACCCAATAGAGGGATGCTTTTGGAAGCCCTTGTCAAGAAATTCCTATGGACTCTCATATGAACATTTGAAAATTGCCGTTCTGACTTATTTCTAGTTCCCTATCTAGAACTTGTAATGCTAATTACTCTTGCCTTTACTTCTCCTATTCAGGATTCAAAGACTTCCTTTCCCCCTTGAGATAAGAGTTATACAATTTGGGAGTCTTTTAGATAGACCCACTGAAGGAGTACTCCAGTTGCCTCACCCTGCATCCCTATTCAGCATAGAAGAAGCCAGAGCAGTCTGTGTTCCTATTCCCTATTGGAAATTTGGGTGACCTTTTCAGAGGATGGTGTGTTAAGAATAGGAGGTAGGAACTGGCTAGGCAGTTAGGGTAAAAATGACCCCAAAGAAAAGTAACTTGGCTAAAACTCACAATGTCCTTGGGCCTCTTAGCAACATACTCTGTTCCAAAGGCCAAAACTGTTGAAAATATTTGGGAGCTTTTATCTAATCCTTAAAAGACTTTAGGGTTCCCTCTTCAGAGAGGGGAATGTTAGAGTAGTCAAAAGCCCCATTAAAAAAAAAATCAAAGAAGAAGAAAGAGGACATGAAGTTATCAGAAAAAAGTGATGGGGAGATATGACAGGAGTTGGAGGGGAGGGAGTGGGCATGGATTTGATCAAAACACCTTATATGCATGTATGAAATTCTCAATAAATTATTTATTTAAAAATTATTTTTATTTTTTGTGTATGAGTGTGTGACCTGGAAGTTCCTCTGATAAGCTATGGTCCCACCTCCTTCTCATGCTCTGCAGAAGGAATCAAGCCCATTAAAGGGCAGGGCTATGGAGATATAAGCCAGGAAAACTATGAGGCTGCTCTCTCACCATTTTGTATAGCTGTTGGGAAGCCACCAGACTTATGTTTAGGTGTAGACTTTCAAGCGCAGCTGTGAATGGGGTAGTTGCCTTTTTTGGAATAGAGCATGGCAAAAGAGGACTCCTCAGCAGGGTGAGATGAGGCATTTGGATAGGTGAGAAGGTGACATAGAGCACACTGGGAGAAGACGTGGAGCTGCCACCATATTGAGCATGGGCAAACTCTGAGCAAGTGAGAGAAAGGGGAAGGAGGCTATAAGAATCATGTTTTTGTAAGTCACCCTCTCCTAAATGTCATATCAACTATGCAAAATCCAAATAAGATGCCTTATGTTGGTTTGTCAATCTGCAGCAGGTCCGGGAGACCCTGAGTCAGGGGTGGGTCTCCCAGCAAAAAGGAAAATTTTTGTGAAATAGTGTTTTGTGTGCATATATGTAAGTGTGCCATGCATGTGCGTTGGATCCTCTTGCAACTGGAGTTATGGTTGATTTTTATCCTCCATGTGGGTGCTGGGAACTGAACCCAGGTCCTCCGCAAGAGTAGCCAATGCTCTTAACCACTGAGCTACCTCGCCAGCCCTTACAATTTTTAATTTAATTTTTTTGTTTTGTTTGAAAAAGGTCTCACTATGTAGTCCTGGTGTGTGCCTTTGAAAGATCATCCTTTCTTTATACATTCTCTCATGGGGCTGGAGAGATGGCTCAGCAGTTAATAGAATTTGCTGCTCTTACAGAGGACTTCAGTTCAGTTCCCAGCACCCACATCAGACTGCTCACAGCCCCTTGTCACTCTAGCTCCAAAGAACCTGACGCCCTATTCTGGCCTCTCTAGGCACTGCACACACATGGTGCACATGTTGACAAGCAGGCATACACATAAATAAAATAAAATAAAAAATTCTCTCCCTTTGCTTGCAGTATACTATGCACATGTCTCTGCCCAAAGGACAAATGGATATTTGCACCTAGCACTTCCTGGTCTGTATCCTAGCTACCTTTTTCCTTGGGACATATAAATGATGTTAATTTGTATCCTTTCACTGTAACCAATGACAACTGTGCATAGAACAGCTTTTCTGAATTCTATGAGTTCTTCTAGCAGATCATCGAATTCAGATTCAATCTTGGAGATCTCTAACTCAATCATCTTCATTATCATTATCAAATTATACTGTCCACTTACTATTCGTGACCACTGTTCTATGCTTTGTGTGTTAGTTAATCCTCACAACAACCTTATGAAGTAACTAGAATTAATCTATCCACTAACTACACCCCATCCCATTTTATAGATCAGGAAACTGAGTAGCCAGAGAAATTAAGCAAAGTAGAGATGGGATTCAAGCCTTGTACCCTCACACTTCAGGGCCTGTGCCTTAACCACTAAGCTAAAACAGCCCTATGAAGCTCCTTTCCCTGACTGGGTAAGATGGTTCTTTTCCATTTTCCATTTTGAATCTCTTATTCTCTCTCTTAAGATGACCTTTAGCTTTCTCCTTTGTCCTTTCTGGAGCTCTCCTTTGCTCCGGCTTTCCTTTGTTTTTACCCAACTTAAAAACTGTAAATTTGAGCCCAGCATGTGGGCACACACCTTTAATTCCAGCACTCTCAGTAGATGGCTCTTTGTGAGTTCATAGCCAACCTGGTCTACATAGTGAGTTCCAGGTCAGCTGGGCTTACAGGCAGACCCTGTCTTAAAAAGACAGAAAAAAAAAAAAAAAAAAGTAAATTTTCAGAGACTACGTAGGGGATTTTCTTTTTTCTTTGAGATAGTACTCATGTAGCCTAGGCTGGCTTCAAACTCACTATACAACAAAGGATGATGATCTTCTGAACCTCCTGCCAGCATGAGAGTTTTTAGATAAAAAATAAGCATTCAAGCCGGGTGTGAGTGGCACATGCCTTTAGTCCCAGCACTTGGGAGGCAGAGGCAGGCAGATCTCTGTGAGTTCAAGGCCAGTCTGGTCTACATAGTGAGTTCCAAGCCAGCTGGGGTACAGGGAAACCCTGTTTCAAAAAAAGACAAAAAAAAAAAAAGCATTCAAAAACAGTATCAGAGGGCTAGGTATAGCTTAGTGGTAGAGTGCATGCCTAGCCTGTGTAGCCTCTGTGCAGACTTTGTCCTGCAACAAAACAACACAACACCCACTCCTGAAACAGTCGGTAGTAGAATGGCTACTGGTGAAGTGTCACCAAGCTTTCAGAGAAAAGATTGAGTCCCTGCGTCCATGTTTAAAGGAGAACCAGTTTTACAAGCTGTGCCTCAATAAAACCTCTTCTAAGACAGAAGGCAGGGGAAGAATGTGGTTCTGAGTGAGGACGAGAGTAGGTGTAGGTGCACAGGTCTCATGGGAACGGGACTGCAGGTTTAGCGTTTCGGGGAGAATCCACTCTGGAAAGTGTTCTGAGTCACACAGTCTGCTTCTGTTTTACATCTCAGAGAATCATGTGACTGAGGCATGTTTGTACTGGGCTAAGGCCCTGCCAATTATCTGTGATTTAGATTAGCTGAATATGCTGGGGACCAAGTGTTTCCACAAGTTTTGGTTATATGTACCCTAGGAAACAGAATGCAGACTTGTAGACTGGCAGGACCATCTCTTCTGGCTCAGAGGAATCTGAGCTGGGTGCAGGATGAGGATCTGGCACACTTCATCCTGAGTGGCTAGTGTTTGGGGGGACCAGCTGAGGCTAGTGTAAGTGGATGGGGCATTCTGCAGGATGTGATACTTTCATGAGCCTGTCCCTGCCATCTGGAGTTCAGGCTCCCTTCACTGAACTAAGCAGGTGACCCCTTTCATGCTACTAATTCTACTGAGTCTGGCCATCTAGAACTGGGAAGGAGCAGACAGAGAACATGAGATAAGGGATGGTGAGTGATCAAATGCTGTAAAGGGAGAGGAGTCAGTGACTGGAAACCAGCTTAGGATTTGTAGGGGAAGGGAAAGGCCTTGAGAAATTATGCCAGCTTTTCTGAATAGCAGGGCTAGGGCAACACTGGCCATTTGGAATGGAGAATGGAGTACTAATCTAAGAATGAAAGGACTTTCCCCTGAGCTACTAAAATTAGACCTTGATGAGCCAGATATAGCACTTGATGGTAGCTGCTGAATTCCCACCAGGCAGCATTATCAAGGCTGCTGTTCAAAATGTGGTAGGAACTAAAAACCTGTTTGCAAACTTGTTTCTAGGCTGAGTTGCTTGATTTTAACTTCCAGGAAATGGAAACAATTTGCTAATTGGCTTTACACAGCCCTTAACTGTGCCAGCTCGTATGGATCTCACCTTTCGTTTTTTTCTTTCCTGATGCTGGGGATTGAATTCAGGGCTTTGTGCTGCTAGACATGTGCACTGTACCATGAAGCTACCCTCAGAACTTTCATGTGTGTCACAGCTTCCTAGCTTTTTAATCCCTCCCTCCCTCCCTCTCTCTCTCCCTCCCTCTCTTTCTTTCTTTTTTGCTACTGGTAGCAAAAACTTGTTATAAGGTAGCAAGGACAGATTTTTCAAAACGATCCTGTTGCCAAATTCTTCAAGGTAACTTTATGTTTTCTCCAAATTTATAAAGCTCTGAAATCCTTCATGTTTCAAAATTGCAAAGATTTTTCTTTGTAAATCATGTTTTAGGGCTGGCAAGATGGCTCCTCAGGTTAATCCTTGGAATCCATGGTGGAGGACGAGCAAATTGTCCTCTTGACCTCGCTCAGTGGCTTGTGTACCCACACACAAACACACAAAAGAAATAATACATAAATATCAAAATAAAACAAACAAAATCTCGAAAACCAAAACTCCCTGAATAAATAAGAGCTTGCTCAATTGGATTTTTTTGTGACAAAATGCTCTATTTCTTACCAATGCTTGCTTTTTGTTGAAGCCAATTTACCCATGAAAATGAGGCTTTTAGTTATGAGTGAGTTGCTGCTTGTTCTGGCCTCAGCAGGTCAGTTTGGTTTAATGTGGAAATACTTACTCAGCCTTGTAGGAGAGGCACGTTTTAAAGAAGGTCATTGATAATTATGGATATTTAGGGACAAACTTAACCCTAATATTTACAGAATAACTTGTATTTAACCAGTATTTTTACATGCATTATTTCATTTAATTCCAAGGGAAAAGTACTGAGTGTTTTACCATCATTTCTGTTTAAGAAATAGATCCAGGCAAGCTGTTATTTACCTTATGGTGAGGAGAGATTATTAAAGAAAAGTTTCGAACTTTCCAAAGGTCATTTTCTAGAACACACTCTCTCACCTTTTTACTCATTAGAAATAATTGCATTTCTAATCTCAGAATTCAAAGGCCAAAGAGAAAAAAATGTTAATATCCATGTTTCTAAAAAGTTTTTGTTTTTTGTTCTTTTTGAGACAGTGTCTCCCTGTAACCCCAGCTGGACTGGGACTCTCTATGTAGACCAGGTTGGCCTCAAACTCACAGAGATTCACCTGCCTCTGTCTCCCAAGTGCTGGGATTAAAGATGTGTGCCACCATACCCAGCCCTAAAAAGTTTTTTTTTTTTTTGAGACAGGGTCTAGCTATGTAGCTCTGGCTAGCTTGGAACTCACTAGGTGGTATAGGCTGACCTCAAACTTATAATAATCCTCCCGTCTCTGCCTTCTGAGTGAAAAAAAAATTATTTTTGCCACGGTTACAACATTGTGTACGAATGTGAATTATTATATATTTCTCCTTTTCTTTTGTGATGAAGACTAAACCCAAGAACTTGCATATACGAAGCAAAAGCTCTACCTCTAAACTACAACTCTATCCCCGAGTCATCATATATTAAAAACAAACAAACAAACAAACAAACTTTGGCCAAAAGTCCATCATAGTGGCACATGCCTGTAATTCTAGCACTTGGGAGGTGGAGGCAGGAGGATCAGGTCATCCTGGGTTACATAGCAAGGAAAGCTGAGGCTACAAGAGATCCTGCCTCAAAAACAATAACAAAACCAGAAAACAAACAAAAAACTGAAGTAAACAAAACAAAACAACTCCAAAGTCCTCCTAATAAAACAAACAAAAAAGCAAACAACAAAAAACCCGAGGAAAGAAATTCCCCTGAACCCACCATGTTGTGAAAAAGCCAGTTCTGACTAGGCTCAGATTTGCTCTGTGTTAGCATCCGGTAGACATAGAGGAGGGATAGGACAGATGAATGTACCCTGGAAAGAT